AAGGCTGTCAGGGAGCGTGTGCATGCCTTCCTTCTAGTTGGACACTTACTCTAAGCCGTCTCCATCTACACTGGCCACTCTTCTGTCTGTGTCTCCCCATCCTTTCTTCGGAGGGGGGACAGTATTGCAGAATTCACCATTGCTTCTTTCTCTTCATTTTGATAGATTTGTTTAGAGGAAAAAATGGAAACAATGTGATTTGTTTTCAGACTTATTAATGAACTTCATAAGTGAGTAAAAAGTAAAATGTAGTCTAGGTAAAAATCAAAGAAACTGTGAAATGTATGTGTATAAACTTTTTCTTTTTACCCTCTTCTTTGCTGTGATCCTGTGAACTCATGAGGACACTTGGCAAAGAGCATCTTTAGGACAACTGGGCTGTTTCCAGGGAGCTCACAGGCCTTGTAGGAACAGAGGTTCTGTGGGACCCACATTATAACTCCAGAGCTAAAAAAGACACAACATGGATCAATGTGTATTTATACAGAAGAGAAGTAGTTGTTATTTTACAATTAGGACATAATTTTGATTATATAAACTGTGTGAATAAACCCAAATACATCAGTATAAGTAAACAACTTTGCTTTGACAGTGTTTACTATTTTGCTACTTAGGCCTGTAATGAATTTATTCTTCTCTTTAAGAAGAAAAAGTTAAGTCAGTGAGAATATGGTAGTATTTGATGAGCAGAATAAAAATAGTTGCCAGCACCCCATTTTTAGAGAGATCTAACATTACTTTTATGGAGACAGTATTAGGGGAGCAAGTCTGGATAGCAGGCCAAAGGAGGGGAGCCATTCAAGTGTTTTTGAGCATGCTTGGCCTGAGATGGGAAAATGGAGTAAAATTATAGATGCTGTGAAGACATTTGAATGATTAGTGTGGAGGAGGTGTTAGATTGGTTTCACATACTGCTGGCAGGCAGAATCAGAACTAATTGGTGGAATTACTACAAGTTTGAGTCGTCTCACTACAAAGAAAAGCCTACTTAAAGCAATTCAAGTGTTGGACTTTTGCATGAAGCAGTGAGTTCTCTTTTGTGGATGGGAAGGAAGTTCTGCAGATACCACAGTAGAGCCTATTGGCTGTTAGGGACACTTTCAGTAGTTTGTGGGTTGCTTTCAGAAATTGACAGAAGTTAGGCTTGGTGGCACACACCTTTAATCCCAGCACTGGGAAGCAGAGGCAGCAGATCTCTATGAGGTCCAGGTGAGCTGGGACTCCAGGGAGACCCTGTCTCAAAACACCAGAAAAACAACAGCAAAGAACTGGCAGAAAGTGGGGAATGGAGAGCTGGCTCAGTGCTTGCTGCTCTTCCAGAGGATGAGGTTTAGTTCGCAACTCCCACATCAGCTTCCATGGGCACCTGCACATGTGCACGCCTGCATACATACACATTTTTTTTCTAAATTGTTTTGTTTGTTTTGTTTTTGAGTCTGGGTCTCCCTGTAGCCCCAGCTGACCTGGAACTCACTATGTAGATCAGGCTGGCCTCAAACTCACAGAGATCTGCCTGCCTCTGCTTCCCAAGTGCTGGGACTACAGGGGTGCGCCACCACGCCCAGCTTTGACTAAATTTTTTACTAATTAAAAAAAATTTGTGTGTATGAGTGCTTTGTTTGCATGTATGTATGTGCATGGGTGTCAGGTCCTCTGCAAGAGCAGCCAGTGCTCTGGACTGCTGAGCCATCTCTCCAGTCCTCATACATACATTTTTTAAAAAATCTTAAGAAATTGAAAGAATGTCCATGTAGTTGAATTTGTTCCTATTATACTATCTCATTTTCATGATGAGGTCTTACATTCTAAAGTTGTATCTTTTTCCCCAAAAAAAGTTTTTTAATTTTTATTTTATATATATATTTGGGGGGGGTGGTACAGGGGCGGGGGTTGTGGAGGATTTCAGAGAATTACTTGCAGGAGTTAGCTCTCTCCTTCCGTCATATGAATTCCAGGAATCAAACTTTGGTTATCAGGCTTGGTGGCAAGTGCCTTTACCTTCTGGGCCATCTCTCCAGCCCCCAAATTTTTCTTGTTCCAATGAGAAGTATAGGTGCAAGCCGTGCATCAGTTGATGCAGGGATGTGTTCTAAGCTTGTCATTGTGGACATCATAGAGCAAACAGTACATTAAGTGGCTGTGATGCCACTGGGTTAGAGTCGTGTGAGACCACCATTGCCTAGTGGGTTCATCAGTGCCTGAAAGGCCATTCTATTGTGCATGACTGTATTTCTCAATAAAGAATGAAATACTTAAAACTGTGCAGACTTTGGATGTAGGTCAAATGGTAGAGGATTTGTCTAGCATGCACGAAGCCCTGGGTTCAATCACCAGTGTAGCATAAACCAGGCATAGTGGTGCTCACCTGCAATCTCAGCACTCAGGAGGTGGAGGCAGAAGATCAGAAGTTCATGGTTATCCTCTGGTACATAGGGATTTGAGTTCAGCCAGGTTATAGGACACTGCAGAGGGAGGGAGAATGAGATTTTTATAATAGGGAATCTTTAAGATTGAAATTTTAGAAAATAAGAGGCAGGCTGTCTATAACTCCTAGGCATGGTCAGAGCTCACTAAGTGCTTGATGATTTGATACTGTCACTTAATTAGATTTTTGATAAGGCATTGTGTTTTAAGAGCTTTATGAATCTTTTTGCTGGGAATATTGACATTAGCCTTGGAAATCAGATTAAGACAATTGTCATTACTCAGTCATAAGAACACAGCAGAAGTAACTAGTAAAGTGAAATCAGAGCAGATTCAGAAAGATTTTTAAAATTTTGTGTTTATGACAAATTAAGAAAAGGGGGGAAATAGACTGGAGAGATGGCTCAGTAGGTAAGAGCACGTTGTTTCATAAGTATCAGGACCTGAGTTCTGGTCCCCAGTGCCAATGTAAAGAGCCCTGCACTAGGAGCAGAGATAGGAAGCAGATCCCTGGAGCTCTAGTTCATTGGAGGGACCCCCTGTCTCAGTGCTAGAGCAGGATACCTAACATCCATCTCTGGATTCTGTGCACACACACACACACACACACACACACACACACGCACACGCACACGCACATTCGCAAAGAAAAGGAAAAACCGCAAGAAATTTGTATACATTGTGTACCTTAACAGTATTTCATGTTTATTGATCACTAATGATGTTCCCATTCGCTGTGATAGCTCCTTGTCTTAATACCCTCAACTTGTGCAGTGACTGAAGGCAGGTACTCCTACATTCCCTTTTTATAAGTAATGTGGATAAAATGACTCAGAGGTGTGCTTTCTGACCAGGCCCATGTATCTCAAGGGACTGAACCCATTCAAAGCCAGATCTTTTCTACTTAATGATACTGACGATAGAATCCTGGGCTTTGAGCATGCTAAGTGCTCTACACTGAACCACATCCCTAGACTGGAGCTCTATGTGTGTATGCGTGTGTATGCATATGGAAGCCAGAAGAGAGCATTGGATTCCCTGGAGCTTGAGTTACAGGCAGTTGTGAACCACCTGACATGGGTGCTGGAATCTTAAATCTGGTTTTCTGAAGAGCAGTACTGGCTCTTAACCCCTGAGCCATCTCTCCAGCTTCGTTTGTTAGGTTGTTTAGTTTGGGGCTTTTCATATAGCCCAGACTGGCCTTGACTTGTTATATAGTTAAGGTTGGCCTTGAACTGCTGATCCTCCTGACTGCCTACCAAGTCCTGGGATTCCAGGTGTGTACCACCAATTCTGCCATTATGAGATGTGCTTCTTGAAGCCTTGTTCTAGGTGGTAATCTGCATTGTTTTTTAAATAGTGATCATCTCTATTGAAGTCTCCACCTCCCTTAGAAGTAGATGGAACCTCAGGAGAGGTAGCAGGAAAGGAAGCTGCCTCTCTTCTCTCCAGTTTGAGATTTGATTGTCTTTAAGACGAGTGATGAGCCAGTAGTGGTGGCATATACCTTTAATCCCAGCAGAGGCAAGGCTAGTCAGGGATACATAATGAGGTGCTGCCCCAAAGAGAGGGGGAAGGGGAGGGAGGGAGGGAGGGAAGGAGAGAGGAGGGTGGGTTGGGGCGGGGGGAGAGACAGAGAAACACTGTTGCTTGGGTGAAGTGGCTTCTTCAAGGACCAGAACTTAGCAAAGCTTTATATCATGTCATAGAAGTGCTTCTAAACCATATTATAATGTGAGTGTGATCTCTACTTCCTGTGTTCTGAGCACCATCATTTCTGAAGGCTCAGGGTTAAAAGTCTCACCAGATTGTTGCATTAAAGTTGGTTCAGGTGGAGCTGGATATGTGGTGCAGCAGTTAAGAGCACTGGCTCCTCTGGCAAGGACCCCGAGTTCAGTTCCCATCATCCACATGGTGGCTCTCACAGCCATTCTGTTTCAGGGCTCCTGGTGCCCTCTTCTGACCTCTCCAAGCATCATATGCATGTGATGCACTTACATACATTATAGGCAAAACAGTCATACACATAAAATAAAAATAAATAGATAGGGGCTGGAGAGTTAGCTCAGTGGTTAAGAGCACTGACTGCTCTTGCGGAGAACCCGGGTTCAATTCCCAGCACCCACATGGCAGCTATGAACCGTCCTTAACTCCAGTTCCAGGGGAATCCGAAGTCCTCTTCTGACCTCTGTAGCATTGCATGACATATAAAATATTTTAAAAAATAAATAGAAAAAAATTTTAAAGTTGATTGAGGTATAACTGGTCTGATCTGCCAAGTACTCTGTACATGACTGTGGATTTGGAACCATTTCACTGTGTGTGTGGGGGGCGGGGGCGGTGTGTGTAAATAAATTTGTCAGTACCCTCTTTGCTCACTCCTAGTCTGAAATTGTTTTATTCCTAACCTCATGTGGTGGTTCAGAAATAAAAATAATTAAGGTTGCTTACGTGAAAAAGAATAAACTGAACGAACTTCAACACATAGTCTTTGCATTCTGTGTCTTAAGTCTTCATTGGGTAGATGTATCAGTTAACTAGCATTGTCTAATGTATGTTCTTCCATTTCACAACAGAGAAGAAGACACAGAAAATGAAAATGAAAAGAAAATCTGGTATTACAGCACAAAGGTCCAGCTTGCAGAATTAATGGACTGTCTGGACAAAGATTACTGGGAAGCAGAACTGTGCAAAATTCTAGAAGAAATGCGAGAAGAAATTCACCGACACATGGACATAACGGAAGACCTGACGAACAAAGCTCGGGGCAGTAACAAATCCTTTCTAGCAGCAGCTAATGGTGAGAGGAGAGACTGTCTCACTTTATTTATTTGTTAAGTTTGAGATAAGCTCTTGATTTAAAAATAATTCTAAAAGTTGAAAATGTACTAAGATGGCCAAGTTACGTATTCTGCTTTGCTTCTCTGTCGTTTTCCTACAATAGCCTTATTCACTCAACATAGCTCAGGGAAACTGTACCTTCCAGTGTTTGGTTTCCTGCCTTTGTCACTGATAAGACTCCGCTCAAACATTTGTGTCTTGTTTGTTTGTAACAGGTTCTACCTATACAGCCCAGGCTGGGCTCAACACTTAATATAACACAGGTTGGCCTTGAACTCATGAACCAGCTGCCTTAGCCTTCAGATTATTGGGACTATGAGGGGTATGCCTCCTTGCCTAGCTCATCATTCTCACCCTGTCCCTTCCATACTGTAGACTACTGCACAGGAAATTTTATTTATTTCAGCCAGATTACTCCCCCTTTCCCCCTTTTCCTCCACAAATCAAGTGGACAAGTTTCCTTGTATATTAAAGCTTGCAGCACAGCTTCTTTTAGAGAATCATCTTGAGTTCCCACAAAAGTCAATAGGATTATGGTTTTGCAATTTTGAGACTACTATATCATGTGCGCCAGGATCAAACAAATCACTGGATATGTTGTATATATTGAGAGTCTGATTCTCGCTATCAGAAGTTCCCAAATAAGCAAGGGGACAATAATAGAATGAACCAAAGACGGAACTGCACATGGGTACCTCCACACATGTCCACACATGTCTTCATATTTGGATAGTCCCTAGTGCTGTTGTCATCCAGATTGTACGACTTCTAAACATTCTGCAGTCACTAAAAGAACCACAATTTTGTGGAGAGATGACAGATTGTAGAGTTTGGGGAGGAAGAAGTCAAGCCGGCTTGGGACATCATGAAGTGCTGGGGTGGAAGAAGGGGCTGATACCCAATGGAAGACGCCTGTGAAGAGGACAGAGCACTTAAAAGGTTCCCAAAAGTCAAAAATGGAACAGTTTGAGCAACAGGATTAAAGTGATTTTTTTTTTTTTAAAACTCATTTTAAAATTTTTAAAATTTTTTATTTTAAAAATTTTAAGTGCTCTCGTGCATGCAGTGCCCACTAAGGCCAGAAGAGGGTATGGGGTCCCCTGACACTGGAGTTACAGACAGTTGTTAGCCACCATGTGGGTGCTGGGAACTGAACCCAGGTTCTCTTCAAGAACAGCCAGTGAGTGCTCTTAACCACTGAGCCATCTCTCCAGCCCCTTAAAGTGATATTTTAAAAAAAATTTTGTTTATCATTTTTATTTTATGTGTTATGCCTGCATGTGTGTAAGTGCACCTGTGCTGTGCAATGCACAGAGAGGTCAGAAGAAGGCATTTGATTCCCTTGGAACTGGAGTTACAGATGGTTGTTAGTCACCACGTGCGTACTGGGAACCAAAACCTGTTCCCTTGCAAGAACAGCCAGTGCTCTTAACCACTGAGCCATCTCTCTAGTCCCCTTAGAGTAATATTTAAAAAGTGGGGAAGGTGGCACATGTCTGTAATCCTAGCTACTTAGGATGGGTGAGGCAGAAAGATTGTGAATTTCAGCCCAGCCTGGGCAACATAGCAAGAGCCTGTCTTAACGATAATATTGTAGGGGCTGGAGAGATGGCTCAGTGGTTAAGAACACTGGTTGTTCTTGCAGAAGACCCGGGTTCAAATCTCAGCACCTACATGGCAGCTAACAACTGTCCATAACTCCAGTCCCAGGGGATCTGACAGCCTCTTTTGACCTCCGAGGGCATTGCACAACACTTACCCTACATGCAGGCAATACACGCATACACATAAAATTAAAAAAAAAAAAAAGACAATATTGACCAAGCTGGCCTCGAACTCACAGAGATGCCCCTGCCTCTGCCTCCTGAGTTCTGGGACTAAAGGTGTGCGTCACCACGCCTGGCCTGCCTTCCTTCCCTTCCCCTTCCTGCCTTCCCCTTGTGAAGTCATTTCTCCTCCTTGGACTCAGTGTTCCTCTAGCTGTTTATAACATTATTTACAGCCTTTTCTTAAAGGCTCTCTCCTCTCTCCTCTCCCCCCTCCCTCTCCTCTCCCCTCCCCTCCCCTCTCCTCTCCTCTCCTCTTTCTTTGACAGGTTCTCTCTGTAGCCCCAGGTGGCCTGGAATTTGTTATGTAGATCAGGCTGGCCTCAGTCTCCCAGAGATCCTTCTGCTTCCCTAGTGCTGAGATTAAAGGCATGTGCCACTATGCTCATCTCCCTTTATTATTATTTTATTTATTGTTTTTATTTTATTGTGTATGAGTGTATTGCCTGCACGTTATATAAGTGCACCCATGTCGTACAATGCCCGAGGAGGTCAGAAGAGGGTGTCAAATCCCTTGGAACTGGAGTTATAGACAGTTGTTAGCTGCCTGTGGGTTCTGGGAATCAAACCCTGGTCCTTTGCAAGAACAGGTAGTGCTCTTAACCACTGAGCCATCTTTCCAGCCCCCTTCATTATTTTTTTTAAAGACTGTGTCTTACTACATATCCAGGCTGGCCTGAACCTTTTGATCCTCCTGCCTCCGCCTTCTGAGTACTGGATTAGATATGCATCACTGTGCTCTGCTATTGCCATGTTTCTTTTAAAAAGAAAGTTGATCTGGGCTGGAGAAATGGCTTAGCAGTTAAGAGCACATACTGCTCTTCAGGAGGACCAAAGTTCGATTAACAGCAACTACATCAGGTGGTTCAAAACTGCCGGTAATTCCAGCACCTGGGGGATCCAACGCCTCTGGCTTCCATGGGGACCTGTATTAAAGTACACACACATGATTAAAAATAAAAGATCTTAAAGTTGATCTTATTTATTTATCTATTTACTTATTTATTTATTTATTTTGGTCTTTTTAAAAAAAAAATTTTGTTATTTTTATCTGTATGAGTGTTATGCCTGCATGTAGGTAAGTGCACCCATGTCGTGCAGTGCCTGCGGAGGACAGAAGAGGCTGTCGGATCCCCTGGAACTGGAGTTACAGACAGTTATTAGCTGCCATGTGGATGCTGGGATTCGAACCTGGGTCTTCTGCAAGAATAGTCAGTGTTCTTAACCACTGAGCCATCCCTCAAGCCCCTTATTTTGGTCTTTTTGAGACAGGGTCTCCCTGTAGCCCCAGCTGACTTGAAACCCACTATGTAGATCAGGCTGGCCTCAAACTTAGATCTGCCTGCCTCTGCCTCTCCAGTACTGGGATTCTACACCCAGCTTAGCTCCTATAATTTTCACTCTTGTAGTTGTAATGATTTTTAAATAGTTAGCATTAAAATTCTTAAGTGACATCTGGCAATATTTTCATTGTATATGGAAAAATGTTTTAATTTTTTTTTCATTACAGAAGAAATTTTGGAATCCGTAAGAGTCAGAAGCGGGGAAGATATAGACTGTGATAAAAGCCTGGAAGAGATCGAAAAAGACAAGAGTGAGATGGAGAGCAACAGCTCCAGAGATGCTGAGAAAGGCAGAGAGGACTTGGAGGACCAGTCCCTCGACAAAGACAGCGACAACAAAGCTTCAGACGACGGTCCTGGGCCAGGGAAACCTGAGGGTAAAAGAATTACTTAGTTAAAAGATATCTTTCATTAATGCTACTTATGCAAACTCCAGTTTCACTTGCCAAATGAAAATGGAAATGTGCACTGCAAGCAACTACTTTTTATTTATTTATTTTTTTTCTTTTTCTTTTTAAAGATATTTAAGGGAGCCCCTCCCTTGTAACATGCATAGCCATTGTAATGAGTTTTATGTATTGATGGATTTGTGATGTTGTACTTACATTCCCTAAGAAGATTACTTAAACATTCTTAACATCTTCCATACTTTTGGATACCCCATTGCAAAGCTACTCTAGAATCTAATTATTGTAAAATGACCATCCAAGAGAAGTAGATTTTTTTGGTCATATTTTAGTATTTGAATGTGGCCATTTGTCCAAAAGCAATTAAAAAAAATATCTTTAAAGTTTTGTTGTGCGTTTTGCTGTAGAGCCAACAGAAGTTGGGGATAGAGGTAACTCTGTGCCAGCAAATCTTGGCGACAACACAACAAATGCTTCCGAAGAGACTAGTCCCTGTGAAGGGAGGAGCCCTGAGGGGTGTCTCTCAGAAACCCATGATAGCAGCAACATGGCAGAGAAGAAGGTGGCATCCGAGCTCCCCCAGGATGTGCCAGGTACAGAGGGCAGTGTATCAATGCCTCTGTAATGGGGGGACCCTTCCCTTTGCAGTAAAAGCTGCATGTCACCTAGAACTTGAAAGTACATGTTCATCCATGCTGCTTGCTGACAGTGCCATCCTGATTGCTCAGTTGTCACCTAACATTGAAAGCTTGGCAGATGTTCGTACAGTTAGTGCTTGAAACTCATATTAGTCCTCATGCTTTTCTTTCATAGATTGATTTGTATACTTGGTCACCAGACCATCCTGGCCAAATTTTTGGTTTGAATTACTCACAGTAATGGCTGGCTCCATGTTGAGTGACTTGACCCTTTTGGCTCTGTATATACTAACACATTAATCTTATGTTTGCATGTGCTCATGTAATTTTCCATTTCACAAGTCATAACATTGTTAGAGAATCCATCATCACAAAACATTTTTGCAAGATGCATTGCTATGTTAACCAGTAATTCCAATCTTAACCTTTTTTAACATCGAAATTTTACTTGGAATAAGTTACATTGTACCAAGAATGTGATTATGACCTTCTGTTTGCTTTTCTAAAAACATAAAGGTATTTTTTAATTCACATGAGTAAAATAAGAAAATAAACAGTGGTAATCTCACTAAAAACTAAGAGTTATTATAGTTGGAGGAATCCTTAAGGAGCCTTTTCTGTGTATTTAAAAATATCGCCTGTTTTCAAACTTTGAGTGCTTTGATTTTTACGTCTTATGCTGGGCTGTGAATCAGATGTTGGAAGCACTCTTTTTCAGAAGATGAGTGTTCCAGGTCCACTTTGGCCTTTAAATTCATGCCATTCACCCTTTAAAGCATCCAGGTTCCTGATTTGTAGTGTGAAGGATCTTGACATCTAGCAGTTCTTCTTGTGCAGACTTTCTTTCTCCTTGAGCACTTGACTTCAGTGTTGCTGAAAAACCCCCATGTAAGCTCAGACTGTGTGTAGGCAGTTCATGAGGCTCCAGGGGAAGCCCAAGCTGTCAGCAGAACGTCACCATGGTTCACAGTAGGAGCGTGCTTGTTAAGATGAAGAAAACCTGGAAACTGTACTCTTATGAAGCAAAGGAAGAGATTGGTTGGGTGTGGGGGTGAGATTACACACATATAATCTCAGCGTTGGTGAGGCAGAGGCAGGATTGCTAGAAATTCAAGGCCAGCCTGGTCTACATAGCAAGCTCCAGGTTAGTCAGGGCTATGAGTGAGACCTTCTCAAAAAGCAAACAAACAGGGAAAGAAAGAAATTCATTTAGCCTAGAATGCTGTAGGGTTGACAGTTGGAAATCTAATTGTCCTCAAACATTGGAATGGCTGAACTGGGGAGAGAATAGAAGTTAAACTTGTTAAGATATCTAGGCACACAAGTAGAGAGTAGAATGAAGTGTTTTGATTGAATATTAACGACTTTCTTAAAATTAGAATTGTTTAGAAAATAGAGCCGTCAAGAAATAAAATAGTGGTACCCATCATAGACATTGGTGAGGCAGGTGATACTTCAGGGAGAGTGGTTTAGCGAAGGAAATGGAGAAACTCGGGTCTATAATTTGGTTCTACAACTGACTGATCGCATCTTTCGGTTTTAGTCAGCTTAAAAAAAATTTTTTTTTTTTTTTGGTCTTTTTGAGACAGGGTCTCCCTGTAACCCCAGCTGTCCTAGAACTCAGACCAGGCTGTCCTTGAACTCACAGAGATCCACCTGCCTCTGCCTCCTGAGTGCTGGGATTAAAGGCATGTGCCACCACACCCAGCTTCCAACCCCATTCTAAAAATATTTTACTACTTTTATTTTTTGTGTGTGAGTGTATTGCCTACATGTATGTAAGTGCTTTCATACAGTGTTTGTGGATTTCAGAAGGTGTCAGATCCCCTGGAAATGGAGTTACAGATGGTTGTTAGCCACCATGTGGGTGCTGGGAACCTGGGTCCTCTGCAAGAGCAGCCGGTGATCTTTACTTGCGAGCCATCTTTCCAGCCCCACAGCCCCATTTTAAAAAAATGTTTATTACATTGTCCTGTTTTAAACCCAAGCTCAGTTAAGTAATGACTATCCTTAGATCTTACTTATTATTTGTTGCTTCTAGGTTTTTTTTACATCTATTTTATGTGTATATGAGTGAGTGTGTGTGTGTGTGTGTGTATGTATGTATCTAGGTGTGCATGCTCATGCAACACACATGTGGAGGTTAGTTAGAGTCAGTTCTCTCCTTCCGTCACCTGCATCACAGGAGTCAAACTCCAGTTGTCAGGCTTGGCAGCAGGCGCCTTTACCTCTGAGCCATTTCAGCCTGGATTTGGTGTTTCATCGAGTAGAAGCTTCAGACTTAATAGTCTAGCAGGAATACTTTGCGTCCTTCTTTAGTTCTCTGTGCTTTTAGTTATCCAACAAATACTTAATTTGTTACTGTCTGTGCCTTGGGAGAGCACTCTGTACTTTGTGGTATCCCTGAACCAATCCCTGTCCTCACTATGGATCCTCCTGTGATTAGTGGACGAGGTGGCTGATAGGAGATCTGGGGTCATAGTAACTATGGTAGGAAACATCTCACTTGGTTTTCTTTTCTAAACTTGCAGAATGTGTTTAGACATCTACTTTATTGATGAAAGCCTTTGTATACACATTGGAAAAAGTATTTTTGGTGAAATTATTTTTTAATTGAAGTGCATAGAAATTAAGGGATGGGTTTTTACAACATGTACACACCTGGGGAACCATGTCTCAACAACCAGTATACCTGTCTGCCAAAGATAGTAACTAACTGTTCTGTCATCCTAACACTAACAGTTGATTTTGCCTTTAAAAAGGCATACCTTGTGCATACCTTGTGTCAAGTTTACACACACATTCTGTAAGCCTCTGAAGCTCTTCAAAGGGCTTGTTGAAGCTTATACTTTGCTAATGATGAGTGAGTGTGCAAGCCTTGGTACATTCTTGTCAGCATCATTCCTGCCCTTGGCAGTGGGGGCGGGGGGATTATATTGTTGGTTGAGCCTGTAGCCACTGGGTGCCTGAGGATCCCAGACTGTGTGTGTGTGTGTGTGTGTGTGTGTGATAGTGAGTTCCAGGCCAGCTGGGGCTACAGGGAGACCCTGTCTCAAAAATACCAAAAAAAAAAATTGTGTTCTTTTGGTGTGTGTGTGTGTGTGTGTGTGTGTGTGTGTGTGTGTGTGTGTAGATAGATAGATCATTTGGGCTTTTGTGGAGTATCATTTCCTTTGTTTTCTCAAAGTGTCGTTTTGTTTGTTTATTTTGGGTTATTTTATAGGAAGACAAATTTTTTTTTCCTTTATGGCTATCTTCACTAGAAACAAAAGTTCCTCTCTTAATTTTTGAATATTCTAATCCCATATTCCTTGATTAAACACACCCTGGTTGTGATCTGTTTTTCTTATACTGCATCCAATTCCTTGATATTTTGGCTAGGATTTTGTATCTCTTTCATGAATGAGATTAGCTTATAGTTTCATCTGATGTCCATATCTGTCTCTAGTAATAAAATTCATAAATTAATGGGGGAGAGACAGGGCTGGAGAGATGACTCAGTGGTTAAAAGCCCTGGCTGCTCCTGCAGTGGACCTGGGTTTGGTTTCCAGCACCTACATGGCAGTTAACAATCATTTATAACTGGACTTCCAGGAGATCTGACACCCTCTCTGGCCTCCTCTAGCAATGCATTCAAGGAAAGCACTTGTATGTATAAAATAAAAATAAATATTAAATTAATCTCAGGGACCCAACAAGATGGTTCAGTGGGTAAAAGCACTTGCAGCATAAGCTTAACTACCTGAGTTCAGTCCCCAGAACCCATGGTGAAAGGAGAGAACCAACTCCCGAATGTTATCCTTTGAACTCTACATGGTACACATCACACACACACAGACCCCTATACTCAGAGACACATGCACAATAATAATGAAAATTTAAAAATAATATTGAGGGCTGGGAAGATAGCTCAGTCAGTAAAAAGACCTGAGTTTTACCCCCAGAGTCTACATAAAAAGTCAGGCACAATGGTAGGGATTTGTAATCTCTGTGGGAAGACAGAGATAGAAGGATCCCAGGGGCTCATTGGCCAGCCTAGGTCTCTTGGTGAGTTGTATCCCCAGCCCCTGTTTGACATTGATAAATATCTCATGTATGCTTGATGAACATATGTATGTTCAATTAGTATATGTATACTAGTTGAATGCAGTATAAGACAATTATTTTTTTCAAATGGGGGCATTTTTTGGGACAGGGTCTCATTCTGTAGCCCTGGATAGCCTTGAACTCAACTATGTAGATCAGGTTGGCCTTGAATTCACAGAGATCTGCCCACCTTTGCCTCCCAAGTGTTGGGATTAAAGGTGTGTGCCACCATGCCCAGATAAGTTTTTAAAAAAAAAAAAAATTTTTTTTTTGAGATAGGGTTTCCCTGTAGCCCCAGATAGACTGAAACTTGCTATGTAGACTAGACTGGCCTTGATCTCACAAAGATCTGCCTGTTTCTGTCTCCTGGAGTGTTGGGATTTAAGGCATGCACCACTACACCTGGCTAATTCAGAGGTTTTTGTTTTTGTTTTTGTTTGGTCTTTTTGAGACAGGGTCTCTCTGTAGCCCCAGCTGTCCTGGAACTTACTGTGTACACCAGGCTGGCCTTGGAACTCATAGAGTTCCGCCTGCCTCTGCCTCCCAAGTGCTGGGATTAAAGGCGTGTGCTACCATGCCTAGCATAATTCAGAGTTATTAATTGTATTGTTCCAATCTATGTATCTTACCACTCCCCCCTTTACAAGATGTTTAAAATTATTTTTACCTATTTACTATGAAAGTGCTTTTATCTCTTTTTTGTTTGTTTTATGGTTCTGGAGATGGAGCCCAGGGCTTTATACATGTTGAATGACTGCTTTACCATGGAACTATACCTTAGCCCCTCTATTTACTTATTTTTAAAGATTTATTTTTAATTGTATATGTGTGGACATGCACACACATGTGAGTGCAGGTGCCTGTGGACTTCAGAAGAGGTTATCAGATCCCCAGTGGTGGAGTGACAGGCAGTTATGAGCAGGTCCTCGCTCCCCTGAGCCATCTCTTCAGCCTCTATAGTGGACTATTTATTGGGCTGGGGTGTGCCACGGCTCGTGTATGGAAGTCAGAAGACAACTTGTGGAAGTTAGTTAATTCCTTCCCCCTACGTGGGATCCAGGGATTGAACTCAAGGTTGTCAGGCTTTGACATTAGATGCCTTTGCCTGCTGAGCCATCTTAGAAGCCCTTAATATGAATATTTATATTTTATTTTAAGATTTACCTTGAAATAGTCTTATCAGAGAGCACTATCATTTTTATGGTTTGTTAAAAGGGAAAATGACAGATTTATAGCCTACATAAACTGAGGGTCAGAATATAAAACTGGATGGATTTCATGACAACCATCATTTTTTTAACTATTTATTTATTTTATGTGTATGAATATATTGCCTGCATGTATGTGAGTGTACCTGTGTTGTGCAATGTGGTGGCAGTCAGAAGAGGGCATCGGATTCCCCTGGAACTGGAGTTAAGGATGGTTCATAGTCGCCATGTGGGTGCTGGGAATTGAACCCGGGTCCTCTGCAAGAGCAGTCAGTGCTCTTAATCGCTGAGCCATCTCTCTAGCCCCTGATAACCATCATATTTGGTATAATCAGAGATCCAAAATATTTCATATGACTCAGACTGAAAAGGAAAAAAAGCGGGACAGTATTTTGTGAAGGACAATTAAGCATCACTTAATTCCTTACGTCAGAATTCCAGACATTTTACTTTTTCACAAGAGTGATAATTTTGCCCATATAGTAAGTATACTGTGTAGTCTTCAAAGTAACTTCTTTATAGTTAGCAAAAGGCTTAATTTCAGAATTTGTCTTTTGTCATGGATTTTTTTTTTTTTTTTTTTTTTTTTTTTTTTTTTTTTTTTTTTTTTTTAAAGGATGTTTACTTTTGGAAAAAAATTGCCAAATTGTCTTCCCAGGTAGCTAAACCATTATGTGCAGCCACTTACATTTCTGTTGCATGCCTCCTCCTTTTTGTTTGGCTAGTGTTGAAGGGCTGAAGAAGCCAGAGTCATTACTGATAATTGGGAGATGAAGGAGGGAGGGAACCTGCTGGGTGCAGACCAGGAACTGCATGGAAACTGAGTTAATTTTGATGGTTAACTTCAGTGGTTACATTAACTTAGGTGATGAGTAGATTCAGTCAGCTTTTCAATATAGACTTTGATTCCTACTACACAGTC